AAGATGAGGAAAACATTGATTAGGTAGGAGAAGGGAATTGGTAAAGGGACAGATACGATACTAGGAGTAGGGGAGAGTTGGTTTCCTGGTAAGTTGGTCAGGATGGTAGCAGAGAGGAGCCTGGCCATACTAATGTGACATGGGCATCTGGGGGCTGTGCTCATAAAGGTTGGGAACGCTTGGTGGTGCAGGAAGGAGGACGACCTTATTTTGTTACCTCCCTTATCAAGCCTGGATTTTTAGAAATTGCAGCTGTGGATACAAGGGTAAGGTTTTATTTTCTATCGTATTCATCTGTTTGAATAGGTATATGAACATTGTACAAAAACCAGCAGTACAAAAGAGTACACACTGTAAGTAAGCTTTCCTCTCATCCTTGCCCTTATATCTCAGTTTCCAAGTTTTTTTCCCCCCTTTTTTTTGGCAAAAGCAACAGCTACTGTCAGTTTCTTATGTGTCCTTCCAGAGCAATTCTGTGCACACATAAGCTTATGTATAGCTATCCTTGTTCTAACTTGTAGAAGCATATGTAAGTGTTTATTTTCATGACTGTGGGTATTACTACTTTCTTCCTTTTCTTTTCTTTTCTTTTTTTTTTTTGTGTAGAGGTACTGGGCATGGAACGCAAGGCCTCGTGCACGCTAAGCATGTGCTCTACCACTGAACTGAGTTAGACCCTTCCCCCAGTATTACTACTTTCAAAGCGTGTAGTAACTCACTGACACGTTCTGCTACTGCCTAGCTTTGTGACCTTGGGCAGAATTATTTGACTTTTCTGAACTTACTTTCCTTGTCTGTAAAATGGGGGTTGGAGATGGTGACTGATATAACTTCATGGGGTGGTTGTGAGACTCAAATGAGATAATGCATTTCAACTGCATAGCACATCTGGTATAGTCAAAACTCAAAAAAGCTGAAATGTTAGCTCTTATATTGTGAGTATTTGCATTCGTATATTAAATGGAAAAGGGCAGGATGCCGAATTATATGTTGAGAATGCCATTTGTTTGTATATCCTTTTAAACATATTTGCATATTCATAGAAAATAATAGCTGACATTTATGGAAAGCATCTTACGTGCCAGGCCCTGTTCTAACATAAGTACTTTACATGAACTAACTCATTTAATTCAAGAACCCTCTGAGGCAGGTCTCAAGTCCAAATGCACAGTCTGTGGCAGATCCAGATTCAAAACCAGGCTCTTTACCCTTGAAATTGAGAAAAGAAGTGGTTAACAGTAGTTACCTTGAGAGGGAGGGATGGGGGAAGAAGGAAGGGAAGCAAGGAAGTTAGGGCACCAGCTGGGAGTGCAGAGCAGGTGGAATTGGAAGATGGAAAGGAAGATTTTTCCTTCTTTTATGCAGATAGTTCTTTTATAATTATTTTTGAAAAATAATAATTTTAAAAATATTAAAACATTTTCAGTTTTGAATTGGGGGAAAAAAACCTCTAAGTGACCATGAAAATTTTAAATAAGGGTGCTATGACTAGGTTCGTGCTCACATTTTCACGTACAAATTATTTTTAGTTATTTCCTAGGATAAATTCCCAAAAGTAAAATCACTGGGTCAAAGAGTTTAATCTTTTTAAGGTTCCTGAGACATGTTGCCATATACTTTTTAGAAAGATTGTGGTAGATTATATTCCCATCAACGATGGATGACTTTACCCCGCTCCTTTCACCACACCAGACGTTACAAATTATTTTAAATACAGAGGTAGTACACTGCCCAATGTCTAAAAAACAGTACAATCGTACTAGTAAAATTAAAGTAATTCAGAAAGCCCTCTCTTCACCTGACAATCACATTCTCTGAGTAACTAGTAATAACTGTATATCTTCCCAGAGCCTTTCTTACATACGTACGCTCTTACATATATATGCATATGCCACTAACTGAGATACAGTTTTATTCAACTGGCTTTTTTCCTTCTGTGATATATCACAGACACCCTTCCCTGTATCTGCATACAGATCAACCTCATTCTTTTTAACAATAGTGTTATATCCCATAGAATAAATATAGCCATAGTTTTTCTTAAGGATTTCTCTATTAATAAAAGTTAGTTATATCTATTTTTTTCAAAAGTGCAAATAGCACTGCGTTGATCTCCCTTATACATATGTGCTTATGTACTTATACAAGTGCGTCTTTAGGATAAAGAACTATAAATGGGGATGCTAGGTGAGAGTCTGTGCCTCTAACATTAGGAACAAGTACTGGGACATGTACCTACAGTGTGTGAGTGTCCAATTCCCTTCATCTGTGCTGGATGTTAACAGTCTGTAATTTTTGCCATCTGATTATCTCCTTTAATTTCCATTTCACTAATCACTAGTAAGGTTGGGCTTCTGCCCATGTTTTTTTTTTTTTAGCCATTTATATTTCTTCTGTGAATTGTCAGTCCTATCCTTTGTACATTTTTCTTTCGAGATCTGTCTTTTAAAAATTGACTTGTAGTGCTCTCTGTAATATAGGTATTAATTCTCTGCCACTAAATGGTTTCTTAGGTGTCCCAGTCCCAAGATTATAAAAAAATTATCTTCCATTTGCATCTATTGCATTTGTAGTTTGTTATTTTATTATATTTTTGGATCCATCTCTAGTTTTTTCATATGGTATGAGGAAAGGAATCTCAATTTTTTAAAAAAATGGATAGCTAATTGTGCCATTATGTCTTTCCCCCACTCATTTGAAATGCCACCATTATCATACTCTGATTTCCCATATGTATATGGGTCTATTTTCAACCTGACTTCTCTTCTGCTGCTGTATGTCTATTCCTGTGCCAGTGTTTGAACTAGTGTTGCTGTATGGAATATAGTCATATCTTTTTTAAAAAAGATAGTCTTGTGTATGGTATATTTACTCTTCCAGAAAACTGTGGAATTAATTTTAAGTTCAATTTTATCAGAATTCCATTAAATTAGTTTAGTGAGAATTGCTGTCATTCTAATGTTGATCCTGTTTATCCAGAAGCATGGTTCTTCTCAACATTTCTGGGGTTTCTTTAATATTTTTATTTCTAACACATTTTTTGTTGGGTTTATACTATTTAAAGACTGCTATTTTGATAGGTGGAAATGGTACATCACTTAATCTACATTTTGATTCTAGAGAAGTCAAATTTTCTGAAAGTATGTTTAACTACTTAGGTTCTATAAATTATTTGATCATATGCTTGATCGATTTTTCTGTTGCGGTCTTAATCTTTTATGAGCTGAACAGATCATAAGGACACTAATCCTTTGTCATAAATACAGCAGATATTTTTCCATCTTATTGTTTACCTTTTAATTTTATCACTTTTTTTTTTTACTTTCAGAAGTTTAAAAGTCTGGTATAGCTAAATATGTCAATCTTTTGAGTTCCTGGGTTGTTTTTTTTTTTTTCACTATTGCTGTTAAAAAGTCCCGTAAAATTTTATACTGAATGATTCCATATTTAGGACAGACAAATATGCCATGTGGAAAACTAGTCATGTTGGCCTGTTAATGGAATTGCTTAAGTAATTTCTTAATGGTATTTAACAATGTAATGTTATTATAATGTTAATGATTATTTATTTTCATTGTAAGTAACAAAATATTATGTATATCACATATATCAGGATGACTGAAATTTGATTATGATTTTTTTATTTTAAGTTTCAGTTTGGGGTACGTGCAAGTAATTCTGACAGCTTTAATGAAATTTTATGTCTTAAAAATTGTCCGATTAACTGTTTAAAGTAGTTGGTGTGTTCTGATATGAAATTGGCTATAATGTTAAGATCGGAAGATATGTTTAATTGACTTGTCTGTCTTCACAGGGCGAGTTATTCACATGAATTAGTCTTATTAAGCCTACAAAACACTATCCACTAACTTTTACCTTTTTTCTTCCCTTAAGTCCTACCATAGTTAGGTGAAGTTGCATTGATACAAATTTTTATTAACTATTCTGCAAACAATCTAATGCTCACAGTTCCTGGAGTTTATATATTAAATTACCCTTTTCTTGTCATAATGAATGTACTTTTACTTCTTAAAAGAAACAAATAAACAAACAAAAAATCTTGTAAGTATTTATTAGGAAAGATCAGCATCTGAGAATAGGAGTTCATATGTTTTCTCATGGAGAAATTAGTCCTTGGAATTATAATCAATAATTTATAGTAAAAGAAAAAACAATGAAGCAATGCCTAATTAGAGCTGTGCCTAAAATTTTGTATAGTTTGACCCTAAGACAAGTGAATATTTGGTTTTTATACCTTTTGAACACTTAATACATTGTCTCATATACAGTAGGGCCTCAATAAACATTTGTAGTGGATAAGCAAATGAAACACCTTCTATTAATGGTAGAGATTCTTTTCAAATTATTGGGAAATGTAGTTCTAAAATTCTGTGTCTGTGATGTCCAGTAGAGACTCAGCTTGCCACATGTGACTAGTAAACACTTGAAATGTGGTTAGTGCAACTGAGAAACTGAAGGCTTAATTTTATTTAACTATCAATGACTTAAACTTTAAAAAGCCACATGTTGCTAGTGGCTACTGTATTAGAGGAGGTGTACCTGCTTTTTCATTTAGTTTTCCAAGTATGTTTATTTTCTAGGTAATTGTTCTGATTTCACCAACAATGTGAGGTAAAACTCTTTGAAACCTATGGTTTAAAAAAAATACAAGAACTAACTCTAAAAATTCACTTATTAGAGTTTAGAAATGTTTACTGAATTATGTGCACAGTCAAGATCACAAAACTCATTTTCATGGAGTTATTAATTTGATGTAAATAATGAGTTCTGTAATGATTATAATAAAGCTCTTTCTTTATATTTGATTTTTGTTGCACTTACATAAAATTTTAGGTTGCTGTATCAAACATATCACAGACCATTTCTCCTCATATCTTGAGGTAATTTCATTCTAAGGAGAAACAAATGTTCTGAGGACCCATAAACTAATTAATGCTCATTTTAAGATGGTCCATGTAAAGCTTTTGTTCATTTTTAAGCAGCTGATTTAGAAGAAAGTTTTAATGAACATGAACTGGAGCCCTCATCTCCTAAAAGTAAAAAGAAAAGTCGCAAAGGAAGGCCACGGAAAACTAATTTTAAAGGGCTGTCGGAAGATACCAGGTCCACATCCTCCCATGGAACAGATGAAATGGAAAGTAGTTCCTATGTAAGTAGAAAATATTAGAGTCTTTCTTTTGGTTGCACCACAAATATTTTATCTAAGCTGTGCTGGTAGGTAAAGTTCATCATTTGAAATGTTAACTAAGCTTGAGGTACCCATAGCTTGTTTTCATGGATTTTTTTTTTTCAAGTTTTCTTTTTTCTTTTACATTTGCAGAGAGATAGGTCTCCACACAGAAGCAGCCCTAGTGACACCAGGCCTAAATGTGGATTTTGTCATGTAGGGGAGGAGGAAAATGAAGCAAGAGGAAAACTGCATATATTTAATGCCAAGAAGGCAGCTGCACATTATAAGTGCATGGTAAGCGTGGTTCCTTTTATGTGCTTTTAAACCCAAGTTTTGGAAAAGCATTTAGCTAGTAACCAAATATAGCACTTTCTCTCTAGGATTAGTGTTTTAGAATTATGAATAGTATATGCTTTAATCCCAAGTCTTTTTTTAAGTATAATTGATTTTCAATATTATGTTAGTTTCAGGTATACAACATAGAGATTCAATATTTTAATACATTATGAAATGATCGCCGTGATAAGACTAGTTACCATCTGTTACCATTACAAAGTTATTACAATATTATTGACTGTATTTCCTATGGCATACATTACATCCCCATGACTTATTTATTTTATAACTGAAAGTTCTATAATCCCAAATCTTCATAAATTCTAAATTTAAAAGTATCATTTATGACTTAATGGGATTTAGAGTAATCCGAATTATTGTTACTATGTTCCAGATAATCCACAATTAACTATTTCATAACTATAAAAATTTCTGTTTTATAAACTTGTCTTGGAAGCTATATTTGGCCTCCACTATAGCCTAGTAAAAGCCTCTTTTGTTGTACTTCACATACTGTATTGCTCTTACTCATTTGTGAGTCTCTTTCCCTTAATAGAGTCTTAAATTCCTTGAGGATAAGAGCTATATATTATCTTTGCATCCTTAGAGCCAGGCTGACATATTGTGTACATGAACATTTTTGAACTAGATTGTATTGAATTACTCATCCCGTTTATGATTAGGTTTTTTAAATTATATTATTTATATCAGAGGTTTTTAACCAGAGATGCATATCTGATTTACCTGGGGAGCTTTTTCCAAACTATGCACCCCTGGAGTACATCCCAAACATGACTAATGGGGGAAAAAATAATCTCCAGGAGATTCTGATCTGCATCTATGATTGAAATCTGTCCTTTTAAACTATTTTTTAAAATTTTGTAGAAGTGTAAAATAGTTGAGATGACAGTATGACATTTAATCTTGGCTCCACACAGGCAACCTTTGTTTTGTTCCACTGTCCTTACTTAGAGTTACGTTTTAATCAGACATGTGAATATATTAAAAATATTTGAGTTGGTACTTGATTATTAAGGAAAAGGCATCTTAGCATATTAAAATAATGTAGCACATTTGTTGTTACGCTGTTTAATCTTTTTCTCACAAGGATTCAGAATATTAAATGTTCCTGCATTTTTCCTCTCTAGTTATTTTCTTCTGGCACAGTCCAGCTCACAACAACATCGAGAGCTGAATTTGGAGATTTTGATATTAAAACTGTACTTCAGGAGATTAAACGAGGAAAAAGAATGGTCTGTGGTTTTATGTTTATGCTATGCAACGTTACTCTTCTGACTTTCTGCTTTAAAATTAGGACACATCTCAAATTTATCCAGTCATCAAAAAATTTAATATAAAGTAGTTCATGTGTTAAAGCAAAGTATATATTTGACTTATTTGTAATATAATAAAGGATGCTGATGTTACTGAAAGTTATTCCTCTTTCTATGTAACTTCATTACTTAAGAGAATTATACTGAGATTTATACTTCAGGGTATTTGAGAGTCTTTTAATAAAATAAATGAAGATGTGAATGTGATACACCTTATTGAGTTTGAAATTTTAAATTGTTTAAGCTTGCTTAAAGAAAAATTCCATAACCCCAGTAGAGCATTGAGAACCTCCCCGTGTTGTTATTCATTCTTTTTTTTAATAAAAGAAGAGTTTTTCACAGCCTTCTGTTTAAAGTTAACATACCCAGTTATGTCTCTTAATATGTTTATCATAGCTTTAAAGTTTCCTTTATAAAATGTGCATAAGTCTCATGTTTTTAAACATACTGAATTACTAATAAATAGCTTTAAGAAATATTGGCATCTTTATTGATCACTTACTCCTTTACAGTTTATGCATATTATAAAATGTCAATGGAATGTAAAATCTTTAAGACAGCAGTTGTCTCTAGAAATGACTTTAATTTCTAAAATTTTTATTGTGAAAATTTTCAAACATATCAAAATTAGAAAGACTAGTAACACACGTCTGTCCATCACCTTGACTCATCAGTTATCAAGAATTTGCGGCACTCGTTTCATCTATGCCTTTTATTCTTGTTGCTTGAAGTATTTTAAAGCAGAGCTGAGACTTCATATCATTTCACCTCTACATATTTCAGTATGTATCTCTTAAAAATTGGACATTTTTTTACCTAACCACAATGTCATTACACCTGAAAAATTAACAATGAGTCTTCAGTGTCATTTAATACCTAGTTTGTATTTGTATTTCCCCAGTTGTCTCGAAACTATCTTTTTAAAAGTTGGTTTGTGTGAATCAGAATCCAGAGGAGGTTCACACATTACATTTGGTTGTTATCTATCCCTTAAGTAATCTAGGGCACTCCCTCTTCCCTGTCCTTGTTGTTTCTGTTTTGTTGTCTGCCATTGACTTCTTGAAGAAAATGAATTGATTGTCCCGTAGAATATCGCACATGTTTTGTCTGTTTGCTTTTTCGTGATGCCATTTAACTTGTCCCTCTATCTGCCAGATTTTCTTTTAAAATGGAAGTTAGACATAAAGGCTTGATTAGATTCATTTTCAACATTTTGGGGGGTAAGAATACTTCACAGGTGGGACTATATCCATATTTTGTCACATCAGACAAGTCGTCATGTCTGATCCTTGGATTCAGGAGGTGAGTCTGATCCCTCCGTTGTGAAGTTCCACTTCGATCTTTCATCTGGTGGTTTCAGACATTGATGGTCTTTGTCTGAGTCCATTAGAAATGACCTTTTCTTTGTGGAGCTACATTTTTGAAGGTGTGAGGACTGTTGATGTTTTCTGTTCCATTTAAATCCAGTTCAGTTTCTTGATGCTTTGATTACTTTAACAAAAAATGAAACTTCTTTAAAACAAGAAAATAGAGTACTGAAAAAAAAAAAAGGAAAAAGATCACTTCATTGTATCATGCAGAGCAATGTCATTGTGTCATACAGCTAACGTCCACATAGGTGACTAGGATAACAATTCGGTTCTCTTCATCAACTTATTAACCTCTGCACTGTTGACTTTTGGTGTAAACACTAACCTAGCATTTCCCCAAGTGTGCTCCAAAGGAAATTAGTCTATCAAGATGCCCTCTCACTGCTCAAGGGCATCTGGAGTTCAGTAACTTGGGAGCTGTTTTCTATACCCTCCTCCCTGGAGGAAAGGCTATTAGAAGTTCTACAATCAAGTAATCTGTTTGAAACTAGCATTTCTCAAACTTATTTGACTATGAAACCCTTTTGTCCACAATCAGCTTAAGTCTTCAAAAGATTTCAGCCCCTTTAGTCTCCCTCCTGCCTTCTTGCCTACTTGGTAGCAATCCCTCTCGAGGAGGGGCAGGAATTGCTTTCCTATCTTTTCATTCTTTCCCCTAGTCATAAAGGGAAAGGAACTGACCCCACGGAGGAAAAGAAGCCAGCTACTAAAACATAGACTATCATCCTGTTTTGTGTGTTTGGCAGTATTAAGGCGTGTTCTGTGTATGTTTAGATGTCAGGTCTCTGATGGTTAGTCCAGTTAAGTAGTGGAAACATCAGGAGTGACAATATTACAAAGTCTATCAAAGTATGATTTAAACTGCAGTGTTATTGAATATACATGCTATACAGTAAGTTCAATGCACTCTTTTTCAATAGAAAAACTGCCTATTTTCTTTGTAAAGTGGACTGTTTGGTTGAAAAATGGCTAAAATAGAATAAATAAGATGGCATCAACTTTGCAATACTGCTTATGACTATTCTTTCTCTTCCCTTAAACAGAAATGTACACTTTGCAGTCAGCCCGGTGCTACCATTGGATGTGAAATAAAAGCCTGTGTTAAGACTTACCATTACCACTGTGGAGTACAAGACAAAGCTAAATACATTGAAAATATGTCACGAGGAATTTACAAGTAAGAGAACAACAATTGTCCATTTTCCTAAACTTGTCAGTAAGTAACTGCCCTTAAATAGATGTTAGTTTAGTTGATCACTCTTCTTGGGTGGTGGTCAGCCAAGTGTAGAATGCTGAGGACTCTATAAGAAATGAGTGTTGCAGTTGGCATTTTCCTCTGACTGCACATCCCTGGATTAGCATTCGTTCAATGAGGATTTGTTATGCTTCCTATGTGCCAGGCATTGTGCTAGGAGCTGGGCGTGCAACAGAGACCAAAACAGACACAGACTGTGTCCTCATAAAGCTTACAGTCTAGTGGGACAGCCACATCAATTAAATGGCCCCCTAACTAAATATACAATCACAAACTTCTAAGTGCTATAAAAGATATGTTACAAAGCGCTGTGAGAGCACTTGGCGAGGAGGAGCTAACATCCGGAGCAGGGAGTGTTAGGCATTTCCTTAAGGAAATAGTGCTTGAAGTGAGATATGAAGGGCGAAATGAATGTGGCTGTTGGGAAAGTGTTCTAGGCAGAGAGAACAGAGTGTGCAAGAGCTTCAGGTGGGACAGAAACAAGGGTGCAAATGGGGAGGGGGGTGAGTTAGGAGGCTGCTGCCGAGGGTCCAGGTGAGAATTGTTGGTAGCCTAGAATAGGATGTAGTTGTGAGGACAGAAGACAAAAGATACTCTTGGAAGAATTATGGAGTGATAAGTTTTGGAGATTTGGGATTATGTGTTACCCTCTTGCTTATGAGTCTTCCACTTACCTGTGCTGCATTGGGCTAGTGGTGTCAGTGTGAATCTATAATGGTTCCCTTTGCTTAATCGAATGGAGAATAAGTTGGTTGAGATCCCTGAATGTTTGATTTTCCTTTGCAAGTTGTAAAGCACTTCCTTGCCCTCACATTCTCAATATGCGATAAACCAATGGCTCAGGGTCTACTTTTCCATGTACAAAGCAGTTTATATAAGCAGTCACCAGGTCATTCAGGTGACCGCATGAGGAGCTAATGCTGTATTATAAAATTTGCCAAACTTGGCTTAATAATAAAGGCACAGGTTTTTAAGGTGAGTTCTATCAAGCCTTTAAGGAATAGATAATTCCAATCTTATTTAAAGAGATTCAACACATAACAAAAGAGAAAAATTTCTTGGTTCATTCTGGAAAGATTGCATAACCGTGACACCAGATCTAACAAAGATAGCATATAACAACAAAAATAAGAGAAACTATAGACCAATCTTACTTCTATAAATATATATACCAAAATCCTAAATAAAATACTGGAAAATCAAATCCAGTGCTGTATTCTAATAACTTAGAGACTATTCAGAATTAGGAAATATATAAATGTGATCCATTTTAATTAATAAAGAAAAATCCTATCGCCTTCCTAGTCTGTGGTAAAAAGACATTTGATATCATTTCAACATCCATTTCTGAATTTTAAGGTAGAAAGACTGCTCTTGGTAAGCTAGTAGTCTTATTAATACACTGTTAAAGAGGAAAAAACCAGCAAACAGCTGATTTAGTGTTAAAATAAATGGACCATGTTCTTAACCAGAGCTGAGTCTTACAATCGCCTGGAGGTGGATAGGGCTCTCTTTAGAAATGTTCATGCCTGGGCTCTACCCTCGGAGGTTTAAATTCAGTACGTTGAGGCCCCAGCCATGTATTTGGGTGGCTCCTCAGGTGATTCTCACGATCATGTCTCACTGAGAAGCACTGTACCAATACACTTCCATTCAGATGAAGAACAAGACAAGGGTGCCAACTATCAACATTACTGTCAGCATCACTGTTCTTCTGGAGGGTTAAGCTGGTGCAACAAGAAAAGGAGGAATAATGTATAATAAATATTGTGAAGGAGAAAAAGGAAATTGTCTCAATATTTGTTATTGATATCATTGTCTACCAAAAAAAATCCAACGAAATCTGCCAAGAAAATCCAACAAAATCAACTCTGAATGTATTAAAATGTATAAGAGCTCAGTAAGGCTGCTGAATATGGGATGATTATTTTTAAAAACAATTCCAGTAATAGCTAATTAGAAAATGTAAAGGAAAAATGGCTACCCACTCCCACCCCGACTCCCCACATGTACACACACCAAAGATGAACCTTTTTTAGAAAATAGCATTTTACATGGGATCCCGATGAATGGCAAAATATATTATGCTCCTTAATAGAAAGATGCAACTTTGAAAGATACCTATTCTCCCCAAGTTAATCTATATATTTAATACAATGTTAATGAAATCCAACTTTCTGACAGTTTTGTTGAGAAGAGTAAATGTGGTATTATTGTCTATTAGTGATGATTAAGTTACCTTGTATAACAGGAAAAGAAAAAGAAGCTTACACAAGATAGAAGTTTGTTTCTCCCCTAAAAGGTGTCCAGAGGAACGCAGCGCAGATGTGGTAGGCAGCTTTTCAGTGTCATCAGGGGTCCCAGTTACCGTCTTGGGCCTTCCTTCCATAGGAAGTAGGAGGAAACAGGAACAAAGGAAAATGGAAAGAAAAGTAGCTATTGCTCCAGCTGGGTCAGTCTTTAATAAGCCTTCCTGGAAGTTCCATACATACTTCTGCCCAGCATCTCGTTTGCCAGAATTTAGTCACATATCCAAAGGAGGCTTGAAAATAATTACTCTTAGTGGGAGGGAACATTGCTACCCAAATAAAATCTGTTTTAGTACTATGGAGGGAAGGGGAGACAATAGATACTGGGGTAGTCAACTAGTCTTTATCACATGAAGCCAAGAAAATTTCTAATGTGATTCAGAGGAGAAATCCCCTGTTAGATATCAAAGCCAATCATATAGTAATTAAAACAGTATAGTACTGGCCCAGTGAGAAAGGTCACAGAAGATAGATCCATGTCTTTGTTGGAATCATATAAATAATTTCGGTACCATTTTATATCTGTGGAGACAGGATGGATTAATTCTGTATTTGGTGTCTAAACAATTGGCTGTCATTTAGAAAAGTCTTGAGTATAGCAGGCCTTCCTAAGCATGATAGGAAACTCAAAACCTTTATTTGACAACATTAAAATTAGACTACATAAAGAGAACTCCAAATCATTAAGAAAAGACACAACCCAGTTAAAAAAATGGGCAAAGGACACGAGCAGACAAGTTATAGAAGAAATAGCCATGTGAAATAAGCATGTGAAAAATCATTCAACCTTATTAGTAATGACGGCAAATGCAAATTTAAACAAGATCCTACCAGTTTTGGGAAAGATGAATAGGATTCAGATCATCTAATGTTAGGTTTTGGAGACACAGGCATTCTCATTCCATGTTAAAATTGAATATAAGTTGGTACAACTTTTTAGGAGAGCAATTTATCATTGAAGACCAAAGCAAAAAATATCTATCTTTTGATACTAGTCTGCTCGTAGGGATTGAGAAGACAACAGTTCAGGGATGTATGTGCAAGAAATTGCATTGCATTACTGTTAATGATAGCTGCAGTACCTACTAGGGCATGTTCTTAGACTCAGTATACTTTGTACTGACAAGATTACCCCAGATGGCGTCAGTCTACTCAGGAAGGACATAGACAGGAACTACAGCTTGTCAGCAGGGTGGCATCAGGTACTCCTCTTCTGTGAGAGTCCTTGCAGCAGTCAGCGTAAGTACAGCCCAGCTCCGATAGGGTATGATCCACATTGGGTGGTCATAGGATCCATCCTGGCTTAAAAGCCCCATATCCAATCAGAGCCAACACCTCTTATAATACAGTTACATAGGCATAGATAATTTTAAGGTTACACCACACTGAAAGAGGACCAGAGCTAAGGCGTCTTATCAGAATACCCATATTTTTCCCACTCCAGATACAGTCTACCAATTAGGAGGTAATGTAGCTTAGTAAAATAGTTGGCACACCAATTTTTGTTAAGTTGCCAGGGTTCTAAAGGGTTAACTAAAGATGAAATTCACATGCAGAATGGGAAAAGGTTTTTGTTAACCTTTTACCTACAATAGCAAGAAAGGAAAAGAAAAAATAACCAGAATGTCCATCAGGAGACTTAATAAATTTTAGTATGTACATACATTTAGTTGGAATACTATGCGGCTATTAAAGAATAAAGTAGACCCATGTGTAGAGTTGTAAAGACGTATTTCAATGATAGAGTAGGGGGGGAGTTGTATAATCCTATTTTAGCAATAAAAAGTACACTTGTACACACATGTACAAGATATGTGTATTTTTTTATACACAAAATTTTCTAAACGCATAGTCAGCAGACTTAGCAGTATTCACCTCTCATTCATTACATAGCGGTGGAGAAGATATATTTTATATATCTTTTATATTTCTATTCTCCTTTATATGGTTCATAATCAATACATTATTTTTTAAAGTAGCCAATAGTATTTTGAAATAACAGGCCCATTTTAAACATCTAAAATCAGATATGTGGAGAATTACTGTATTTAAATTTTAACTTTAGATATTCTTATTGCAGTAATTATCCATTTTCATTTTGGGAAAAAATAGAAAATATAGATAAGAAAAATAAAACTTAATGTCAGCTTTAATTCTACCACCAGAGATAACAACTTTAAATCTTTTGGCATATTTTTTTCTAGACATTTTTATGATTGTGTATATTTATAAAAAAATAAAACTTTCTCATATATACTGTTTTATAAACTGTTTTCCACTTTGAACATTTTTTTCCTGTGACATAAAACAGTTTTACATCACCATTTTAATGGTTGCATAGTATTCCATTGTATGGGTATATCAGTTTGTTTAATCAGTTCCATTTTAGACATTTAGATGGTCTTTATTTTTTAGCTATTAGAAAACCATGTTGCAGTGATTATCTCTAAGCAAACATATTTGCACTGGGATCCATGATGATTTAAATTGCTCTTTTCATTTTTTCATATTGAAATTTGTTTCTAAAATCTGCTAAAAATGTAGATTTCAGATTTTTCCTAGAGACCACTGAGTTCAGATGAGTGTGCATATGCGAGTAGCTTGGGGAGAGAAGAGTCCACGAATAGGAAATGCACCTACACGCAGCTTGCTTCCTTTACCAGCCCTTTGTGAAGCTTGAATATAGTCATATTAGAGAGACGAGGGAAGGTTATGTACTGATTCTGTTTATCCTATTTTACTGTCTTTATTTTATTTCTAACTACTTAAATATGTATTTTTCTAAAATATCAGTCTCCCACTGTAAAAAAGTAAATTCTATGACAGCAGGGATCTTGTTTGACCAATCGACATCTGCGGCCTTGGTGTCCAGATTAGTGAAGGACACATGACAGGCCTATGGGAAGGAGTCCTTGAGTGAAAAATCATCCCATAAAAAGATTAAAATGGGCTCTAATAAGAAAGGGCCCATGCTTTTAGGTAAAGCTCTGTCATAAAAATTTCCAAAAGTACACAAAAATAGAAGAGTATAACGACGCCGCGTCTCAGCAGGTGCCAGGTTATTGCCATGATCATTTCATCTTTTTTTTTCCTCTCTGAGGTATGTTAAAGCAGAATCCCAGATCTCCTGTTATTTCATCCCTGCATACTTTAGTATCACTATGCCATCATCACACCTTATTAATTGACAGTAAGTTCTTAGAATCATCTCATACCCAGTCCACTTTCATATTTCCCCAGTTGTCTTGAAAATGTCCTTTTAGACTTGATTTGTTCAAATTTCAATACATACAAAGTCCTTACATTGCATTTAATGGATATGTCTCTTAAATGTCTCTGAATATAGAGCAGTCCCCACTCCACCCTTGCCTTTTCCCCCTACTTGTTGAGGATCCCTGATATGTTGTCCTGTAAAAGTCCTATATCCTAGATTTGTGTATTTGCATCATAATGATGTCATTTACCTCATTTCTCTACCCCTCCACATTTCCTGTAATTTATAAGCTGGTTCAAAGGCTTAATTAGATTCAGATTATATTTTGGGAGAAGATACTTCGTAGGTGCACCCTGTAGAAGTCTCACTCGATATTTACACTCATGATTTTTAAAAAAACGGCATTCCCACTGTGCAGTGTTTGAAAAGTAGAAATTCTTCATAGTTCTTTGAAAATTGAATAAAAAATGATGAGCAAAACTAGGTCGGAAGTCAGTTGTTACTATTGCCCCTCCGACCCCACCCCTGCCTTTTATTCTACTCACTTGTTCCAAACTTTCATATTAAACCTAAGTGTAGATCATTTGTGGCAAATGAATTCCTATGTGATCATCTTTTATCCATTGCTGACCACAAGAGGGCACCCACTGAACATTTTTAAAGCATTGCTCCATCTTAGCATATACATAATTGACCTAAAACTGAGCTCAGATCAGCCCCCACCCTTTGATTATGGTGGGAGTGGTTAACTGTAAAAAATATATTGGTGCATATACAGTAAAGTGGCCTAAACCTTTGTTCAAAATCACCTACATTGCTGTTTTCATTAAAAACAATGACTTTCAAGTAGATGGTATATACACACAAATAAAAGGTTGTCAGAACTGCATGATGTCAAAGAATCACTCCAGAGATGATTTGCTAATTTCAAAGACAGAGAATCTACCCTTACAACAAAGAAATCCGGCCATCACTACCACCTTAACCAAATGAAAACAGCATCACTAGCAGCAGGACATTCTGGAGTTGCATGCCTCCTGAAGTATGCAGGATTACCTGCCGAGTATCCTGGACTAGCGAAGGACCGCTGAACCAGCAAAGTTAACCAAGCCCTAAATAGCAAGGTCCTACTGTACAGCACAGGGAACTATATTCAATACCTTGTATAATGGAAAAGACTATGAAAAGGAATATATATGTATACGTAAAACTGAATCACTATGCTGTACACCAGAAACTAACACAACATTGTAAATCGACTATACCTCAATTGAAAAATAGTTAATCAAGCCCTTAGGCCTTATTTCTAGTTTATAGGAAATAAAGGATGAGAGAAAACCAAATAGAACATTACCACAGTTAGGCAACTCCAGAATGTGGTGTAGTTGACAAGGTATATGGTCTAATTCTTTCCAGAAACTCAGTGTCATGGGGAAAAAAGAAATTGGAGGAACCAGTCTAGATCATGAGAGACACAGCCAAATGCAGTGCCTGGAAAACTGTTAGATGACTCATAAAGGTGTTCTAGTAAAGGCCAGGACACTAATGATGAAAAGGCCCTAGAAGAGTTTGAATAAAATTGTTTCATGACATGTGAGCAGAAAGCAAGTAGTATATATCGAATTTATATTATTGCCTAAAATGTGCTTTTAAATTATGTATATGAAACATCCTAGAACTTGATTATGTCATATATGTACCTGAAAGTTGTAATTTTCAAGTTGACCAAAAACTTTTTTTAACCTCATTGGGCAAACTGAGGGATTGCCTTATATTTGGGCATATGTGGTAACTTTCATCCTAAACCAGAGGTTTTATTTCTGATGAACTTTTACTATTTCATCAATAGAGTGCTTTCCTTTCTATCTTTTAGATAGAAATGGACCTATAGCTCATTGTGGAGACTGTTTTTAAGTGTGGAGGAGGAAACCCACATTTTAAATGGGCACCAACCTCAGCCACTAATGACATAAATATATTCTCATCAACAATGACAAAGCATTTTGAGATTTTTATCTTTCATCATTGTAGACTATATTGTAAAAATCATAGTGGAAATGATGAGAGAGATGAAGAAGATGAGGAACGAGAGAGTAAAAGCCGGGGAAAAGTAGAAATTGATCAGCAACAACTAACTCAGCAGCAACTTAATGGAAACTAGGTATGAAAGTTAATTATATTGGCTCTGTTGTCAGGATAACAGTATACAGTAATAAATACCTATTAAGGTAATGATGTGCAGTATGATTTTTTAATGCTATTATGTTTAGTTAAGCATGTCAGTAGAAGCTGAGGATGTGTAGGCTTGCATAGTTTCTTTTTTTAACTAGCTGATTTTGCAATAGTAAAAACAAGCTATCCACTTTACCAGTAAATGTAGTTGTAACGTGAAACCAATAAGATATTCTTGCTCCTCAATAACATTATATTTATTGTGCTCCCCTCAAGCATCATATTTTACATTTTTTTATCATCTTTTAAACAGGTTCATGGGACAGAGTTAGAAAACTGGGAATGAATAAGACATCCATAACTACTATTCTTTTTTCACTGTTTTCTAAAATCAAAAAGGGTTTGTAACTTTTTACTGCCCATCTCTTAGATCCTTCATTGAACTGCCTAAAAACGTCTTGTTTGTTTTATGAGCCTTCACTAGATGGCAGAGTTTGACATGTTGGTATTACGTAGCTGTAGTTTGCAGTTTCTGGGAAGCAATTGAAACACTATTAACCCTGTGTATAGTGTCAACAGTTAAAGCAGACAGTGAAATGAAGTAAGCTATATTTCTGGACTGAACAAAGTTCTACTGTTTAGAGTGTCTAAGTTTGTTTAGTGGATTCATGCTCAAGGGAAAGCATAAGCAAATTTCACTTTACAGTGCAAACACGCCTCTGGTGGCAACACATGGGAATTTGTGAATTTTTTTTTCACATTCAAGTAAAGGAGGCTAGAAATGAAGAGAACCTTCTTTTTCTCTTGGCTTTGACAGCACATGCTAAAAAGCTCTTCAAGAAGTGTGCTAAAGCTTTTCGTTTGGTTCCTGTTAAAGTTGTTCTCACTGACCAGCATGGACTCGGGCAACTGGTGATTATAAGCTATGAGCTCCAGTGCTTATGCCAAAATTCTCTTGACAGCAAACCTCTTCTCTTTTCATGTCATACAAAGAGCTTCTAGCAAAATGATTGGATCCTTTCAAGTTTAAACTACCATTTGGCAACAGCAAATTAAACCTCTTTAAGATTTAAAGGGTTACCACTTACTAAGGACTTTAGCCACCAAGACTGAAACCCTTTCCTCTCAAGTGCCGTGTTGTGTGGAACACTTCATGTATCGGCCCAAAGTATGTAAGGAGGTCTCATGTGCTGTAGAAGTAAAAAAAAAAAAAAAGAAAAAAAGAAAAACAGTCTTGCATAAAACAGTATTTATTTTTTAATTCTGTGACCACTATTTTAGAAACTTTATTTAATATTTTTAATGTTTTCATTTGTTGCTTTGCTTATCTATGAAATAGGCTTCTGTGCCCTACTTTTCTTCTGGTGGGGTTCGGTGGTGTTTTATTGATCATCAGAATTGTTTCTCAAAGCCTAAGAACCCAGCTTTTTAGAAAAAGGATTTTCACACTGGCACTTCTTAGCTAGTGAGATTTTCTTCCACTCACCTGCTGAAGCACATTTACATATTCCTTTATGGCAAAACCAAAAAAAACTTTAGTTGTGTTCTGCCTAATAGTACCATAGCACCTCAATATCAAGGGGAGGGATTCTGATTTCTGAATTATTAGTTAACTTACCACATTAAAGCAGATTAGCAAACAAGAAGTAACATGTTAACTTGACTGTACATTGAGATATTCTGCAGCTTCTGGAAAAGCATTTTAAAAATGTAACAGGTGGAAAATTACACTGTGCTTATGACTGATTTTTTTAACTGCTAGTCCCTTAAAGTCACATTTGTCAAGTGTGTATTCACACATTTACTTAAATCAAGGGACTTGATGATTGCTTTATTTTAACCATCTTTTATTATTTTTAGAAGGAAACTAGCTTTAGTAGTGGATTGCCCTATATGTTTTTCTCTTTTTGCTCTAAATATACCATTGGAATTTTTGTGTGTGTATGTGATGAATTTTCAAAATTCTCCATGACTTGAAGTGCAACGACAGATCTAGATGTTTGTTTACCAAGCTATGTGACTTTTCCCAAAGGATCTGTACTTAATTTCCTTACAACAGCTTGAAACCTGTTAGTTTAAATCTTTTGAGTCACTGTGTCGAGATCATTTTTACATTGTGTGCCATAGATTTACCCATGAAATAATAAAGCACCTTCATTTTTGGACAACTACTGTAACGATGTATTTTGGAAAAATGGAAGGTGCCAGGGGTAACAATGGCCAGTCAATAATCATATAATGGACTTCAAATACTATAGCTGTCAGTCGATTGATTTGTTATGTAATAAAATGTATGAGTTTGTATGGGTTTCTTCAACCCTTTCTCTGCCACTAGCAACCAGAATAGCACTTTACCATTTGGTTGGCTAGATAAGTGGCTGGCTACCTATTTTTCTCACTGTGGTGTGATTGGCTAAACAGTCTTTCATTAAAAATTGAAATGTAAATTGAAGTCACATGAAACATCACCTTTGGTTGTAAACCTCCGATATTTTGATTCTCTATCCATGTTTTCGTCACATGCTGAGTAAAAGTGCCTTACAATGTAAAAATTGTACAGTACTTACGTTCCCAAGTAGCATCATCATCTTCTGGGTAGTAATTACATTGTGGTATGAATATTTAGAAAAATGGACCTCAGCAGTGTATTTACTGTTCATCTCTTAAGTCCTTAACTGTAGTTTTAATAAGCATGACATTATTTGATAAGTATATAACATTTACATCATTTCAAAAAATACTGCCATGACTGTCTTTTATGCATATTTTAGCTTGAAATTTTGAAGCGTCTTTTCTTTTTTTCCTTTTTTCTTTTTCCCTTTTTTGTTTTGTTTTTGTTATTGATATTAAACAGTGTAATCTTTGCAAGCGTATATTGAAGATTATTCTGGAGCATTTATTGCCTTACCAGAAATGTTAGTAAGAAATGTTCTTTAGAGTAGAAAGATAGACTTGAGTTTCTATACTTTAATAAGAGCTCTTTGTTCCTGGTGGGAGGGGGGAGGGAGGGTGAGTTTTACTTTCATCTCAATTTATTAAAAACCCACAGCTGAAATACATTTTATTTCAAAGATCAGCAATTTTAGAATTTCATATAGTACTTGCTCAGGAGTACATGCTACTCAAGATATTAAGAGAATAACAAGATATGTAGATCTACTGTTGAATCAGAATCTATGTACTTGAACAAATGTGTGAATCTTAAATATCTCAAAGCAAAAGAAAAGTGTTCTAGAATGTTGTTGCTTTTTTAAAAAGCGCTAAAGTTAGACCAAGGTATACAGTTTTGTTCTAAGAGACATTTAGGTTAATTGTAAAGATAAGGAATGCATTATGGGTCAAAATCAAACATTCCTCTCATGTTATGTATATTTTGTTCCTGTTATATTGGCTTTATTTTCAAAATTGTAGTTTGTAGTATTAGTTTCCTTTTATTGGTATTCTTGCATATACTATTCATTCAATAAATGAGTTATGACTTTCATGTTTGTATTTATGTCTCTTTTGTGTAAGGGAATGATGAAGCTTATTTGTAACAGCACTAGTATTTTGTTCTTTTCAGTCTCGCTTTATTTCAAGGTGAAATGCCTAGTTTCATAACTTGTCTTTAAACTAGTACGAGAGAGAAATGTGAATTTGAGTTTAGTTCAAAGTTTCACACAGAAAGGTTCTATCATGGACAGAAACAGCAGCCTGTCAAGTACAGTGGGACTGCGTTACATCTTGGTTCCTTTCTCATTACATGATTCAGATACCTATGACTTAAATCAGGTCCTCTGGAACCTAGTTAGAAGGTGATTTTAAAAATAAACCAGCACTCCTAGGACAGTTTATCTGATGCGTAAAAAGGATGCAGGATTAATATCCTTGTCATAAAGGGATTCTATCTTAAAGATTTAAATCTCCCTTTCCTGTGGACAGCTTGATTCTAGCACAGTGCTCATATATTGAGGTGGTCATATCCAGGGCAGGAGTCAAAGTTTTAATTGATAGAACGTGCTCATTCCGTACATACAATTCCTAACCTGCATTCCTGCATCCCTACTCACGAAGGGGGAAAAAATCAAGTAAGAGGTTCTGAATAATGCTGCAACTATAGGACACGATGTGCTTTGCTGCAAGCATTACCTAGTCATGTTTGGCCTGTGTGTATGTGTGTGTGTTTAAAGTCCGTTACTTTGTTTCATTTCAATTACCCCATAAAAATATGAAGAAGAGAGTTACGTGGCTTTCTTTAGCTTACTGAAACTATTGACAGCTGGGGTTTTGGGTTGGGGGGTTTCTTTGCTTTCTTTTTCTCAGCAACAGTCATCAACAATTGCTGAGGTCATTCCAAAGCATAAGCCTGGTAGAATTTCCTAGGAAAATTCTATAGGCAGCAAATGGCCAGTCCACATTTTTAAGGGAAAAACTCAGTCCCTGGGACAGTGCTGCTTCATATATTAACCAGTGTTGTGTAACCTTGCCTTGTCCAGATAGTGAGGTAACTGGGCATTAAGGACAAGGCGAAGATGTATTCTTGACTTTTATTCACAAGATGAAAGCTATAAAATGCCAGTTACCATGAAAATTAATGCCAGCATTTTACCTTGTTTGACTGTAGCAGACGTGTTCTGCTTGCACTCAGTGTACTGAAGTCAGTCACCCAGACCTGGATCCTTGTCACAAGATAGCAGATCCGTAAACATCCAAATTCTACCTTTGCCTGCACCTCTGAAGGCTATATGTGTGTTTTTATGTTGGGGGTGGGGGCAGAGTGGGGAGATAAGGAAGGTCTGTCCTTCCTGGGCTGGGCAAAGAGCTAACCAGGTCTGCTATGTGAATGATAATAGTCTAATAAAGGGATTTATGTGTAAACAAAACTACTGTTTGAAGGGACAACCTTTTAAATGGGACCTGAGAGAGCAGCTATTCAACGGAGTGTTAGAAGCAGGGAGAAAGAAATAAACTGTACTTTAATGTGGACATTGGATTTAGAGCTGTTGCATTTCCATAAAGTCACTTGTACAAAAAGATAAGGTTTTTCTGTTTGAGTATTTCTAAAATCAGAGCTATTTATAGATTTTTTTATTTATAAAAGTCATATCTAGCCCTAAAAAGAGATGAAGTACTGATACATACTGCAACATGGATGAAGCCAGCTGAGAAGGGTCTAAGGAACCAGCACAAAGGGTCACATGTAGGAGTCCATTTATATGAAATATTCAGAAGAGGCAAATTCATAGAGACAGAATGCAGATTAGTGGGTGTCAGGAGCTGGGGGAGGGGGAATGAGAACTGACTGGAGTTTCTTTTGGGGGTGATGAAATGTGTGGAATTAGATAGTGGTGATGGTTATGCAACTTTGTGAATATACTAAAACCCATGAATTATACACTTTAAAAGGGTGAATTTTATGTTAGGTGTTATGTTAGGAACTTTACCTCAGTTAAAAAAAATTAATGTGGTCATTGTACAAAATTAAAATATACAAAGATATATAAAGCAAAATGTGAAAATCTCCCCTTTTCCACAAGCCTTCTCCCAAGTATTTGATGTGTGTTCAGCCAAATGCTTGTGTATCGTTAGACACTGTGAAAAGCATAAATAGGCTCATGATGTATACAGTTCTGCACCTTGTCTTTTTCACTTGAATAACATTACAAGATTTCAGTACAGCTAGATTTCTCACGTTCTGTTCGGCAGCTCCATGGCATTGCAGTGTGTGGATGAACTGGACTTACTCTGTCCAGTCTCACATACATCTTTGTGTTCTTAAGCAAATAACTTCTTAGGCTAAATTTCCAGAAGTGGAACTGCTAAGTAAAAGGTATGTACAGTCAAAGTTCTGATAAAAATTGCCATCCAAAAAATGTATACCAGTTTAAAAGTCTACCTATAGGGATTAAGCCTCCCTGCCCCTCTACGCCAAAGGAGTGCTTTTTAATGAGAAGAGATGTGATACCTTTTTTTAAAAAAATCATACATGCTCTATAGAACATTCTGTGGGATATAGATTTTGTTGTAAAGACTATGTGGACTATATCTCAAAGTGGAATATGAATTATCTTTGGGAAGCTGGACACTATTTCATTTGTGAAAAGATTAATAAGTCAACAGGTTTGTTTCATATGGATTATTAGCAGTAGTCATTTGGTGAATCATTTCACTTCCTTCTGCTTCCTGAAAAGTAACAGCGTGCTCATAGCTATTCACTGTTACCAGATGGATCTGCTTCCCTCTATGTCCAAG